ATATTGTTTACCAATACACCATCAAATCTTCAAGTTTCTTGTTTGAATTTACAGATGGAGAGATTTATAGGATCAGCAGCAGGCATGCGGATCCGATTAGAACAGCTGCTGTAATTATAACTCTTGAATCTCGAATGGTTGGGGGGAAAAAAAAAACCAAAATAAACACGTCCTTCGAGAACAATCACAACTTGTGTAATTGTGCTTATCACATAAAAAAGATTAGTTGCTCTGCCTATACATCACAACTTACAGATTTATTTACCAACATATGAGGTAACGAAATTTGACAACCAAATAAAAAATAAATGAATAAAAAAGAAACTCCCAACTTCCATTTTGACACCTCATCAAAGATTACGTAAATGACGATGTACAACAATCATTTTTCAAAAACATTATACAAGAGGTCATGTCATTGCTGGCAATTCGAAACTCCCAATACTTGCCATCAGACATTAGTTCAGCAATTGACAAAAAGTAGAACATTGGTATCATCTGGGATAGAACGAGAAAGTAAAACAAGAAAACTACAATACTAACGTTTCTTCTCTTTTTTTTTTTTTCCATTTTAAATCATGTCCAATACAATTCAATCCCTTACGCGCGTATATAAATTCACTTTGAAAACTCAAGATCAACCATCTCTACTCAATACTAGTCATTCAAGTACCGAGAACAATCTATTGTTCTGCAGATTCACCCCATCCCAAATATATATATATGTATATATTTTTTTTTTCCTTTAAATTTTTCAATTTTTTTTCTTTTTACAGTACTTTCATACATTAAAACAACTGAAACAATGGCACTCACTGTAAATCCTCCCTATATGGGCATTATATCAATGATTGTGTTTTTTTTTCTGTAGCAGTTTGATCTTTCAGGAAAGAAAACCATAGAAACTTCACTTTCAAATGCAGTCAACTCTGAATTCCGAAGTGCAACCTCTTATATTCTACGGAACCCCAAAGTTACTAATGCATTTCTGGATATGAAGATTCTGTCTTTCAGCATATTGCTCATCTAGCAGCAGCTGCTTGAGCTAATAAGACCCCTTGTCAATCTCCCCTTCTTCAACCTCGTCGGTGACGTTCTTCAGAATACTAGGTGGTTCACCTTCCTCCTCCTCCTCATCTACTTTCATATATAAACCGAGCTGTTCCAAAGGATTACTGCTTCCAAACTTGAAACTGCCAAACCCATCCTGTGAGTGATCTGGGCTAGTCTCATCTACTGAGCTAGGTAATTGCTCAGGTAGGACAACCCTCAGCATTTCCAGATCTTCAAGAAACCGAGAATTTTCATTGATTTCAACAGTCTTCTCAATCTAGAAAATAGTGGAATTTTTCGGTCAAGAATGGAGGGAGGAAAAGCCAAACTATTCTGAGATAACAAAAGTTCATCAAACCTTGAGCAATGCCTCGCGAGCAGCTTCTCTCTCTAGCTCTCTCCTCCTCTTGGCTTCTGCTGCAGCATCTGCTTCCGCTTGCCTTTGAGCATCTTCTGCAGCTTTGGCTTCTGCTAGCAACCTTGCCTTCTCTGATCATACAAACAGTAGATTGTTAGTTTTCAGATTGGCGATGTTGAAAACCAATCCCACTATGTTAGCCTAAGCTTTAAAAGTTACTTTATTACATGTCTTCATATTCAATAACTTTCTTATTGGTCAAAGTTGGAAATAAATCAGTTACTTATTTTGCCCCTGTTTGGGATCCATTAATTCTAAAATTCATTACTCTTTTTTTCAATCACATACTACAATAAAATAATATTGCATGTAAATTCAAAACTTTTCCTTTCTTTTTTAACCACACATTCTTCAAAAAATCGTTATTATAAAATACAATTTTTCTCAAAAACTAAATTATAATGGAGCTCAAACAGGTGTTTTGATAATAATTCAATAAAAGCAACTGTTTTTTAATTACAAGCATGAACATAGTTAAGCTTCCAGACAAGAAGGTACCTAAAAATAACTTCAATTTTTTTAAAGCTTAGCCAAACACATTCTGCCATAAAATTTATAGGGGTTGCATAGGTAAACTACCTCTCCTCTTGTGCATCTCGAGCTCCTCTTTTTCGCGTCGTAGTTTCTCAGGATCCCCTTTATCATCCTGCAAGGAGTAGAACAGATCATGTTCATACTGAATAATACTGGAAAGATCCAGTGGCATCTAAAGCAGTCATGTAACTAACCTGGCTGAGTGTCTTTTCTCGAGCTTTTAGTATAGTATCTGCAAATCGTTTTTTCAAGATAGCAGCACGGTACAGCTTCCCGGGGGAAACCTGCCTATCAATTGAAGGACTCTCCCCTGACATGTCAAATGTCATGAATAAGAAAGCATAAGCAGGAAACCAAACTTTTGAATTCTACTTATAACTCCCCATTCTTACCATCCTGATGATCATCTGAATTGCCTGAGTTCGGCTTCACTTGGAAATTTAGTTCAAGCTGGTCAAACCCACTAACTGATTCTGTTCATAGCCATTGATGCAATATCAATAGAAACGTTCTTACATTAGAATGCAATGATAACAAATTAAAAAATAAAATTGGAAAAGAACTTTGAAATGATCAAATTTCATTTCAGTATATAACAGAGGATCCAGTTGACATGCAAAGAAATGAGAATGTTGATATTTTACAATACATCGAGAACACCTTAAATTTAGCTTCTATTGGATAAGTCATGGTAAGGCCACAATGGACAACAGCCACACGTAAACTGATATAGATCCACATGCAGAAACCAAGCAGTTGCAATATTCCCAGTACAAGAACTACCAGACATGACAAATTGATCACTATTCGTCATACGGCTTTTTAAGAATTCATCCAGAAGATCATGCATAGTAGTAGTGTAAAAGTTTCATCAATAGATAGTGTAGATATTAACCAAAGATAGCCTCAGAACAATTTCAAAAACAAAACAAAATCTTGTGACAACCAGACATGACAGAATTTAAACCTTGTTAATGTGTCAAAAACATGTTTCCAAAGTAGATTACTAGAAACTTCAAGTAGCCCTCTATTGAAACCATGAAATTATAATTCATAAGAGAACCTCTCCTACATGATTTTCAAAGTTCATCCTGATTACAAGCAAACACATACCATGGTTTTCATTTGAATGAAGTAATAAACACCTTCAGCAACTGCAGATTTTTCAAGCAATCGCTTAACAGATACAGCTTAAACAAATATGAATTGACAACAATCTCCCTTCTCCACAAAGATTGGACACTTAATTCTAATGACATCGAAAGGAAATCATGCATGGTAATGAGATCTAAAAAAACAATAATAACTACTGAAAAACTCACGATTTCCATCCACTACATCATCAGCAACTGCCTTTTTATCTAGTTCTGAAGTATAACTCCCATGATCCTGAAATTGTATTGTAAATAGCTGAGACAAAATCTAAATTCATCTAGCAGCATCTTGGAACAAGTTTTTTTTTACATCAAATACTTGAGTCTGTGCAGACACATTATAATTATTAGAGAACTAAAAAAGGAAAACAAATATGCATCTAATATACCTTTGTCAGCTCTACTGCTGCAGAACCTTTCGAAGATTCGGATTCTGTGTCAGATGCATTCCTATAATTAGGACCTGCAAGAAGAGTATATCACCAACCACCATGACAATTTAAAATAATGTAGAACCATAAAGTCGAACTACAAAAACATCAGAATAAAAAATGACAACCTCAGAAGCTCGTAGAAAGATATTATTATCTCATGCTATAATCATATAATACGGGACAAGCCAACTTGCCAACAGGGGGAAAATAGCTAACCACAAGTACAAATCTCGGGCCTGCTTGATCAACACCTTATCTCTTCTCAAGATAAAAACTAACCTTCTCATCAAGTAACACAAATATGAGAACTTAATTATGTAAGCGTGAATTATGCCCACCACAATACCAGTATCATCTTTAAAAGATACTTTAACCCTTTTCTTCAGTCACCACTCGTTATGTTTTTGTTGATTAGAAGCGAACTTATTAAGAAGAAAGAACTGTAGATATGGAGGACAATAAGCTTGCAACGATGTCTTCCAAAATGGTAACAACTTTGAGATAAATTATTAGCATTCATGTTAAACAACAAAGGTTCATATCATCCAAGAGTCACAAACTTGTGACAGCTACTGCATTTGGTTGTCAAAAAGGTGCCTCCCCCTTCATTTATTAGCAGACAGAGCCAAAATTTGTAAAATTGACCAGTGCAAACAATCTTCATGAATTACAACTCCAAAAGGACTTCATCCCACAGGTTATTAATAATTTAATATGATGCTTCAGATCAAACTTATGCGAAATTAATGTTTATGTCGCATTTAACCAACAAAACTTCCAAACAAGTCCCTCTAATAAAGAGGGAGGAAGCGTAAGAGAGACAACAGATTAAATTAGCATACATGTCCAACAAATTAAGCCATATTACAACAAAATATACCTGCTTCATTACATCTGTTGCTTCCCATCCCAGTATCTTGATCAATCTCAACCGGAGGATAGCTGGAGACTGGAGGCTCATCTCCACCAATATCAACACCCCCGTAGATAATTTCATTTCCTACAAGTTTCCAGAATAAGAGAACAAAGTGTGAAGTGAGAATCTCACAGGCAATTCATGTAATAGGATTGCAACAGAGATCCAAAATAAAAGAATTAGAACCTTTGTCTGCTAGCATCGATGAATTGCTGGGCCCTGATTCATGTAGCATCTGAAAGAGATGGGAAGCAAAACACAAATAATTCTTGCTTGCATATGAACGATGCGCCAAAAGAACTGAATTTTGTTAAAAGAGAAAACAACAAGTACAGCAGATAATAAACAACCTCTATTTCACAGGCTTCAGATTTTGCAAAGTTGTCTTGTTTCTCACGCAAATGATCATCTAGGAGCTTCCGTAATGTGAATAGCGTGTCATCTCCGAGATCATCAATATCGATCTCAATCTCACATTCCTCAGAATCCCCTCTTTTTGAACTTTGTGCTCCCAAAAACTCGATGATATGATTTGGTAGATCCCCCAACGAAGCTTCCAATTCAATGCTTAATTTGTGTTTCTCTTCATCAGTCATTTTCCTCTTGATTGGTTCTTGTATCGCTTCATGCTGCATTGAGCATACTTTCCTCTTCTTCAGGGGGGTCACTTGTTTGGCTTTTTCTGTTTCTTTGTTTATGATTGATTTTTCAGGTATGCACACACCACCATTTACAGCGAGTTTTTTCTCAAATGCTTTCCATCTTACTTCAAAAAACTTACTCAAGGTGTCCGCCATGATGTGGACATCATTTCCTGGTGGATTATAGGTCTTGGCGTTGGTAAATGTGAGCCTGACATCAGCAAGAAAGTCTAGCGGGCTAGCATACTTCCCTGAAGCAAGCTTACTCTTAATTGTCCCCAAATCCATTGGGTTTTTTATAACATTGAAATAATCAGGAAGGTTTAGTTTGACTACATCAACAGGGGAACTGAACACCCACCCAAACCGATGTGACATCAACTTATTCAATAAACTCTCACAATTTTTAAAGATCTCCACGTTCTGGTTCGCAGTTTTATGCTGCTCCACAGACTCAAATCTTCCTGTAATACCGCGTTTCCAACCACGCCCTTTCCTCCCTGGCCCATAACCTAAAGCTGAGGATTTCTTTGCAGTGCCAAATGGAGGGCCCTTTTGTTTCGCACTGCTACAGCTGAGGATATCACTAGATGATGAAACTGTTACAGCATTTGGCAATTTTGTCCTGTATGACTCAACTTTGTTTTGGAGAAACCGAATCTGCTCGAGTTCTGATGTCAGCCGGAGTGCTAAGTTCTTTCTCTCAGATGAAGACAATTTGGACAGAGGAACTACCTGAATAGGCACAGCAAAACCATCTCGCGAAGCAGAATTCAGATCTATCCATTTTCGCATAGGTACAGTAGAATCCTTCGATAGAGTAATTTGGTTGTCAATTCCCCCTGAGCTACCAGATCCTTCCGATTCATACTGAGGAGCAAAACCAGTAGCATATCCAGGAGGGAACCTATCCTTCTTAGCCATAGTAATCCCCTGAAATTCACTCCACCAAATTAATCAATCTCCTTGCCCAGCTGAGCAATATAATTGTCACTGCATAAAACCAATGCACCACACCGATTTCTTAAATCCACCAAAAGATCATAAATTTACATTATTCCTACATAAATAAACCTTGTAACATTTCAACGATCTCAGCAACTATACAATAATTTTCACATCCCCATAGTCAATCTGAATTAAACAAGTATTTAGTTTTGACGTTGAAATGAATTAAACCTCATGCTTGTACATTGAATACTACTAATTCAAGTAATTAATCACAAAGATTTTTTACTCAAATTCCGTTTATGATTCTCTCAGAACTTTCATTTCTTTTCCTTTCCTTTTTTAGTGAATCATTCTCCCATACTTACAGATTATACTAACTTCAGTAACCTACTTACTGCCAAAAGCTTTCTTCTTTTCCTTAACCTTTTTAGTTAATCCACCCTCCCATACTTACAGATCATACTAACTTCATTAACCTACTTACTGCAAAATTACAGCAATTCACGGTACAAAAATCTAAAACCCTGTGCATAATTACCTTGACTCAAATACCCTTCGAGTTACAAGGAACAAATTTTCCTCCGCAAGCTTGCCACACAACAAAAGTAATTAAGAACTTCTTAATCAAGAAGCCAGCAGTGAAACCCTAATTTTATAAGCTCAAACTAAACCGCCAGAGTAGCAAATAAATAGGCAGATAAATAGAGAAAATCCCAGGCTCTCGAAACCCTAGAGTAATCAAATTCTCACTGAACCAGAGGGAAATTCTTCAAATCACAAGTAAAAAACCCTAATCACAGGACGAAGCTCCCCGAAGTCTTCCACCTTCCAATCCACACAGCACACACACTATTATGCAACAAATATAGAGAGAGAGAGTGGTAAAATTGCTCTGTTTGTCGTTACTTATAGAACCTCATAGTCTGGAAATTTTGGGCCGTATAATATCAGTTTCGGCTATATCAACGGTATGGCAGTGTGTGAAATTTCAGCCGCTCGATCTGGATCTGGCGAGTAAGAAGAGCCCAGGTACGTTGAATCCGATATTTTAGAGCTGCGGTATCTAATTTTCAGAGAGTTATGATAACATTACCACTCGGTGAGTCATATCAAATTACAATGAGATCAGAGCAATCGGGTTTAGTCAAGCGGCGATCTGATTGGGTGGGTGATCATTTGATTGTATGAGAGCGAGTGAGTTTATCAAACCTATTCGAACGTCTAGAAGCTGCTCGTCCGCGTCAGCTTAAACTGTATTCACGCGTCAATTGCGCGGTTTGGATTTTAGTGCAAATTGCAAGTGGTTGCCACGAAATTAAAAATAAAAATGTAAATGGCTATAACAATTCACATTTCACACTCTTGCTTAGACATCTACGCTACATCAAAATGGGAAAAGGATCAAGAAAAAAAAAGTTGAATACAGCTAAATCGACAATGAAAAGTTAAATAAAAAAATAAAAAGATTGAATTTTGGGAGTGAATTGGTACGTTTTTGTGATTAAATTAGTAGTTTAATACGTTTTATTGTGTGATTAAATTTTGAAGTTAATTATTTTGATTTGATAGTTATTTCAATGATTTTGAAAGTTTTTATTTTAATCATGTAACTTTACAGAATTTTAATTGCATAAAAGTCATCAACCTTTTTTTATTACCACATTTATATCTTTAATCTATTTCTTCATAATATTCTAATTTTTAATATTTCATTAATCGAAATATGTTGTCCTTAATCATGATTCTCGTTCAAAGATATTATCACATGCTTCAAAATGAGGATTAAATATCTAATTGCATTTTCTCATTACTATTATTAGCAACAACGGCAGTATTAGTGGTAGTAGTTTGCTTATTCAAAAGTACAATGGGCAAATGAATCTTTTTGCTTTATTTTAATGAAAATTTTGGATAAAAATTGTAATTATGAACAATTTACATTAATTTCATAATAAGAATGCATGAAAAAAGTTTGAGTCATAATTGTAATAATGTGTGAATTTTATGAACATTTCATGCAATTAAAATTTAATATAGCTATTAAAAACTAGGGTATGAATATTTTTAGCCTTTTCATTTCTCATTAAACTAGTTAATTGAATCCAATGTTGGCAGCTATGCCCCTTTTTTATTAAAATTTAATTTTTTTTAGTAGATTTTGAAAAAAATTGATAGAATGTTTGATTGGAAAGTTGTAGGTCACCTAAAATATATGATTAAAATTTATTGTTGATTTTGATTTTAAATTTTAAGTCACGTGAAACTGGGGCTAAAAATTTATAGATTTCAATTATTTTTATCCCATACAACTCAATAGTGATATTTATTTGTACATGACTTTTATCTATGAAATAGAATTTAAAATTTTTTTGTTTTATACATTGATTACATACAATATAATGTGAGCAGACTCAATTCTAGCAAAATATCTTATTTTCCGTTTACACATGAAATAATCTATTTTTTCTTGCTATAGTATCATTATGTCTTTTATCCCCTCTCCCTTAATCATTCATTACTGTTCATTTAGGAATTCCTCCTTTTCACACTTGAAGTGGGTTTGCACGGTTAAACTTCTTTTTCCTATTTACTAGGTCCATTTCACTAGGCCTAAGAGGTTTTCTGTTCACTTTGGTTATGTTTTTCTTATCACTTTTGATTCATCATTTCTCACGCTTCTTCGAACATAAACCTTAGATATCTACCTTCCTCTAATAATTTTCAATCAGATACTCCATAGAAATCTTTGGTTCATTCCAATGTTCCAAAGTTATGGTGTCGGCCTCACGCTTCGGCCTCACGCTTGTTCAAACATACATCCAAGCAGTCTACTATCCACTTATTCAGATTTTCCATGGAAACGATTGTTTCTCGTCGATCTTTCAAACTTTTGGTGTCGTTTTGCAAATTTGTATTAATTTTACATACTTCTTCGAGCACATTTCCACAGAAATCATTGGTTTTTATCAATTTTCATAAATTTCATTTTTGTGTGGTCAACTATACGTTTTTGTCAAAACGGTGAGAAATCCAAAAAGATTGTTGATGATACAAATCGGATCAATAAATCCTATTCACTTCTGAAACTCGCTAATTTGGATGTACAAATTGGATCAAGAAGTGAAATAACTATTTGAAGTGAGATATTTGAATTGCATGACTTATTCTTCAAATGAGAGGACATTTATATATATATTCTTCCAAACTTTGAGGTAATTTGGTCATTTTGAGAAAACGACAAATGGAGGTTCCTTATTAGCTATCTTTTAACTGATTCGGTTAAATGTCACGCTTTGCTAATATGCCCACATGCCTTTATTTACGGCCCGTAGCCAATTTGGATATGAAAAATGGTTTGTAATCCTTCGGCGAGGCTGTTTTTTCTTTGTTCCCCTCGCACATGGCTATGCATTTAGCCTAATAGCTAGCTGGGTTCGCGAATTACACTTCGAAGGTTAACAAATAATCGTATAGGTTCGATTTTAATATTTATATTAAATCTAGGACTTTATTTATTGTATGCTATTATCACCAAAGCTATTGGGGTTCTTCTCCTCGCCTTGCTCATTCATGCTTGTTGGGGGAATATGGAAAACATGCTGACGACCACTTATTGTTTTATGCACAGATGGGTCTTATTTGCATTTTTCTTCGGTAGTAGCCCACAACTCTTGCGGACGCATTCTTGGTATTTACATTAAATCTAGGAACTTATTTGCCATATGCTATGATGAGCAAAGCTATTGATGGTTCTTCATCTTGCCTTACTCATTCCTGCTCGTAAGGGAAAATATGGAGAACGTGTTGGCAGTCACTTATCGTTTTAATCGCATATGGGCCTTATTTGCGTTTTTCTTAGTTAGTAGCCAATAACTATTTTAAACATACGTCGGTTGCATATGACTTAGCCAGTTTGTCTTGAAATTGTATTAGCCACATGTTCATTTTGGACGATTATGATTCTTACTATCATTTTTAATGGCTAATATGTCTTCACCAGAATCTATAATTGTCATAACTTGGTTGGTCGTTTTTACTTTGTAGCCTCATTACTTTCAAGCAAATTTCTTGCCTTAGTACTTACTGTTTCTTTATCCTTTTCTAACATCTTTCATGCAATGTCTTCCTAAACCAGAGACAGATAGGGGGGCTGGGCTGGGCTGGGCTGTAGCCCCCCCCAGACCCAAGAGGTTTTTTTTAAGGTATTTTTTATTTTTTTTGATAAAAAATCAGTTTTTTATGTGTAAAAAAAAAAAAAATTTCCCGCGTAATAGCCCAGTCTTGGATCCAATTCTGGATCCGTCCCTGTCCTAAACTGACCTTCAAAGCGTGTCTAATAGTACCGATCCTAGGAGTTCTAGTTTTAGATGTGAAATTTCTATCACTCTAATGTGCAGTTGATCTTAAAGAGAATGTTAGGAACGTTTTTGAAGCTTCAAAAATCTTTAGTAATCTCCCTGAACAAGGCCAAAATCATGATCCTTTTTAACATTCCTAATGACATAGAACTGTTATGTCCTAAACCATTTCAAATGGCGGATCATCCATTCCAAGCTGCGTACCTATTCAAAGCATTCATTGGATATGGGGCTCAGGATTTTCTTTCTTCACTTTTTTAGTGAGACTCTTGTATCTTTAGATATGCACCTCCACAACTTGCTCTAAGTGGATGGGCCCAACTATCCGAGTCTTTTTGTTGCAGGGATCCGTAGGTATATCAAGAAAACTTTCACCAAATATATTTTGTTTGATGTATCATCCCAGGCCTTTGGATAATACTTTGAACTCCCAAAACGTTCTCCTCGTTTTTCCAGGGCCTGCTCAGAGTTGGTAATCTCTCCTGACCAAGTGAATTTATGGAAAGAAGGTTTCTTCTTTGTTCAATGTAGCCGGGAATTTCAACATAGTAATCCTCATGCTTCCATTGTTATGCTTCAAGCTTATAGTAGGTACTGTGAATGTTAATTCGTTGTTTGTCTTTTCATTTGGATTTTGATGTTCTAACTGTGGTGATTTGGTATAGAAAAACATGTTTTGTAATTTATAGTCGTACTCTTGATAAACTTTGTGGCCTGCTAGTCCTTATTTCTACTTAGTTATTGTTATCATTTTGTTTCAATACCTTCTCCATTTTATGTTTTTAGTGAGTTTGACCTCAATGCGAACATTCCCAAGTGTTAGAGAATATCTTCGCCTACGAATTCAAGCTCTGGAGAATTTAGAACGGTTAGCTATATTCCTTTTGGGGATTCAACCACCTAAGCTACCCCCGAAAGGGTTAGGGAGACTACAATGCCTCGTTGTTGATGTTTTTGTTTTAGGGTTGTCATCTTTAGAAACTATATTTTCCTCCTCGCCCATCCATGTTGGAAAATGGAACGAGTCCAGCGGATTTGGGCAAAGTTTAGTCCTACCAACTTCTTCTTCCCTTAACTTTAAATCTTTCTTTGGTACCCTCTATCATGATGAGTTACATGTCAAGATTTTATTCTCATTTATTCCTTTTGTCATCCGGATTGTCTGGTTGTGTTACACCTATTTTAATCAACCATATGAGAAATTGGCCAAGGACCTTATTTTTACGCAAAGGAGAGAGATGATTGATGCTAATCTATCGCGAGCCGCGGTATTATTCCAAGACTAATAGGCAAAGTATGAGCTTTGCATTAAGCGGGTCAACATCTTAAATTGAAAGATCCAATCTTTAGAAGAAAATTGTGAAACTAGGTGTAGCTGAAGAAAAAAAATCAAAATATAAAAGCATGTGCTAAAGCACTGAGGAGTATGATATGGTTTGATCTACTATCTTCGACGACAATAGGAAATTAGCCTCAAATTTGATGCTGATTCAATTGGATAACATATTCTATTGCAAAAGAAGAAATTGTAAAATTAAAAGCTGAAGAAAATGCTTCAAATGGCTAAAATTGATTATT